CTATCAGGGCGGTTCAGGTCTCTTTCCATCAGCTCGATGACTTGTTCGGAATCGGGTGCTTCGATGCCCTCGGTCTGGGAGATGGCATTCTGGACCACACGAAGCACGCCCGGACGGTCGACAACGTAAGAAATGTTGTTTCTGTTCGTCTACTTGTTGTCAGTTGAATAGTCGTTACGGCTGATGAAGTCCTATTACCGAAATATATCCATCGAAACCACGGCCTGGCGTCCCCTCAGGCGTATAGGTATTTCTTTCAAGCTCGATGAACATTGATCTCATGTTTTCAGGGCCCCAGGACTCATCCCCTGTAACCTCTGCGAAGTGGTTCCAGTCACTGTCGGGTGGGAGAACCACATTCATAGCATTCGCTATAGCAGAACCAGCAACCGTAGCTCCTCTGGGATAGTATATGCCTAGTCTGAATCGGTGATTAATGACGATCCAACCAAGGGTCGGGCGCATGACTTACGGAGTTGCATCCTCGGGGGCATCAATGCCGTACCAGAGTGTGCCATTTGAAAGACGGTAGGTGAAGTAACGATCGCGACGGGCTTGAGTCTCATTCTGGTAGTGAGACACAAAAAACTGCCAAGACATGGCGGGGTCCTCCGAGTTGACATCCGCTCTGTGAAGTATAAGCACATGGCTTCATATATCGAGCGGTCTGGAAACTCACAAGCCGGGGATTTGCTGAAGAGGATCATCACCCATATTGCCTCCTGCCTCAATGAGAAAGACAGAATGACCCTCGTGTGCAAGGCTTGCGCTGAGAAACGTTAGCAACAAGACGGTAGTCGGAGGCAATACTCTTACGCTAGAGTGCCACCTCCAGGTCCTGAGCCAACGACAACATAGTCATAAGCTGTATCGTTGAGAAGACTTCCAGTCGCGCTGCCACTGAGGAGTAGAAAGAAGGCGAAAGAAAAAGGCTTCATCATCTTGTCTGGATAATGTTCAACTGCGGTATTTGCATCTATCATGTTGAAGCAATGCATTGCACTGGCTAGACACTGCTCTTTTATAGATCATAATGCCAAGGTCATTACAACAGTTTTGTAAGTATGCAAATTACCACCATCAGGAAGCATGTATCCAGCATGAGATGCGCAACTTACAGGCGTCGTCATAGTGTCTGCCAAGTTTTGATCATCATTGTCCAGGTCCTCATCGCGCATGCTGTGACAACTGCGAAAATAGGTGGCTGAGCAGGCCAGATCATGAATCCTTCATTGCGGTTGTTCGTCTCACAAGGCAAATACCGAACTATGGGAAGTAATTTATCGGCGATAAGTTAGCAGAGTTCCGATCATGTGAGGCTAAACTCATTCTCGACTCGCTGCTCACCAGCACAGCCTGCAATTTTCTACTGAGCTCTACTTGGCGGAGTTGTAGTCGGTCCTTGGCGGGCTGTGGAAGTTGAAAAAAACTGATGAGCTTCGGTTGGCGGCCTTGGCGTAGGGCAATCCACTCGGAGATAATGTGGTCAGCTTACATCCTTTATTCCGACACCAACGTGAAAGAACGGCAAGAAAGCTGGATGTGCAACGCCTCCATCCATGCTACTCTTTGCCAGGAGAAAACAAAGTCGTAAGATGCTCTCAATTTGCCAAGTCCATTTCTTAACAGGCTATGACGGGGAGCAGGTATCGGCAATATCACCAGAAATTACGGCGACCGTCATTGTTTAGTTCTTTTTTCTGGCTCCTTGCCTCAGAATTGTTCCAGCCGTACTTTATAGTCATTGCTACGTACCTTGCCTTGTTTAACGCGTAGTTTCTGAACATCGTGACGACTCTCGATGGCCATAAGGTCTTGTGGAGTTGGCTAAGTATACTTGGGCAGTAACAATCTTATAAGCACCTAAAGTGGGGTTCATGCCGGGTTTGTGGGGCCGGTCGGCCGGCGAGATCTGGCACTGCAGTCCCCGAAGACCGAGGGTGCGCCCGAGACTCGAGCAGTAGGTACCTGATCCAGTCATGACATCGGTGCGGACAGAATCCTTCTCTTATGATGTCGTGCTTCTCCTTGCATCATGTATCTATGGCAGGTAAACGGATGGATTGATGAGACAATTCTGTCTGGTTGCGCAGAAACCCCGGACTCTCGCCGGGGCCGAGTGGACGATTCACCTTGACTAGCAAGATAATTAAGGTGAGGAAAGGGAACAGCGCACGGCATGTTTCTTGTTCTAAGACAATGCCACTCCTTATATACGGTGACTGGCGTCTCTTTTATCCCATGTAACCCAAGTAAAGCTGATACTTGGCTTACACTCATTGCCAGAGCAAATATTGACGATGGCCACTCACCATCGTCTGCGCGTAGGAAGCACCTCGATTACCTCGATTTCCTCATCATGGGGCTCTCGGAAATCTCCTTCCCGTTTCCACTGGTCAAATTTATTTCTCGTTTCTTGTGGCTGAATATGTTTCATTATCCAATGCTTACTAGTCTTCCAGGAGCCGGATCTTCCGTTTTGCAATCAGTTCAGTCTTCGAGTAGTGCAAGTACGATGTAGAACAACGCATTACAGATGTCGTTCGCCATTACCCGTTTTGACGACCGTCCACCTGAAAAAGGTGTGAAACGACACATGCGGGGTGCAAATAGGGTGGACGCGACGAATAGACTTCCTATTAATATGAATAAGTCTGTTCATCCCACCGGTGCACCCATTCACCGTGCCACTTGATGTTTCGTCCGTCCATTCTCTCCAATTAGATAATGGGCCGAATCCAAGCTCTCGGGTCTTCCTTGCGGCTTCTCCACCGAGCTTAAATTCCTCTGCAAATGCCTGGGACTGATTAGGAACGACCTACTACTCTATGATAGTGCCAAGTTGCATCTAGTGAATAGTTGGAACATGGAAAGGCGACGGAAAAGCCGAGGAAACCAAATCAAACCCTGCTGAGGGCCGAAGACATAAAGGAACTAAGCCCAGATCTCGTAAGATGGAGATAGATTGTGCGATCTAATCAAACATTGACGATAATTTTCTCTTTCTTAATCCCGTAATCTTGGCCGTGTTACGACTCATAAGCCAATCATGGAGTTTTCACGAAGGGGCTGGTCTCCTCGATCGACGGTTGTTGCCATTACTTTGCTTACGTCACTAACACTTTTGAATGCACAACAACCAGTACAAGTCAAGCTGGACGATGGATCATACTCTGGTTTGACAGCGAATGGAGTCAACAAATTTTTGGGCGTTCGGTATGCGGCACCACCACAACGCTTTGCACCGCCGGTGCCTGCTTCGATGGCGCCTCACAACGAAGTCCTGAACGCGACAGCCTTCGCTCCATCCTGTATCCAGGCTATACCTGGTGAGTGAATGTCCCCTGCTACTAATCGGAGCTCGTCTGGGACTTTACTCGTATTGATCATGGCGTTGACTTCCAAAAGCTGCGATTGCTGCCATGATGCCGTCCGGTCCTGAAAGCGAAGACTGCTTGTTCGTCAATGTCTACGCACCTTCTTCTCCTCCACCCGCCGAAGGAAGAACTGTCATGGTATGGTACTATGGCGGGGGCTTTCAGTTTGGTTCTGCCAATACACCGATGTTCGATGGCTCGAGCTTTGCACGGAATCAAGACGTGATCGTTGTGACGCCAAACTACCGAACGAGTGGTGAGTATTCATTGATCACTTCGAGACCTTATCTCTCAGCCTCTGGAAAAAAGGCGTTGCTGATCATTGTGACTGCAGTCTTTGGGTTCCCAGGCGACGTCGAGGGAATACCTCCCCAAATGCGCAACGTCGGTCTCATGGACCAGAAACTAGCGCTTCAATGGGTTCAGCGTAATATTAAAGCCTTCGGTGGTGACCCAAATAAGGTGACTTTATTCGGGGAGTCAGCTGGCGGTTCATCAGTCGACCTCTTACTGCTCACAAGCGGTGCTCAGCCTTCGTTTCGTGCAGTCATCACCGAGTCTGGGACCGCATATCTCGTCACTGGACCGCAGGCAGGCGGAGATATAATCGGACTCATGACCGGCCTCTTGGGCAGACCAAACATGAAGACGCCTTTTCAGACCCTTGCAACTTCGCTTAAGTGTGGCAGCCAGAAGGCGCTTGATTGTGTTAGAGCCGCCCCGGTCGAAGCTCTTGTATCCATACTCTCTACGGGTCCCTTCAACTTCCCGCCTGTTGCAGACGGAGACACAAACGTACCGACCTCACCTGATGCTACTCGCGCTTCTGGCAAGGTTCCTAAGATACCCATGATGATAGGGACGAATCTCAGAGAAGCCGATATCTTCACAATGGGCCAGCCACCAACCGCTTTAAATGCATTCGTCGCTGCAACATTTCCCGGCGACGATGCGTTGCAAAAGGCCGTGACCGCCGCATATCCAGTCGGAGCCGGAATGCCCTTCCCGACTCCAAAGGATGCAATCACACAATTCGCCACGGACTTGGATTGGAGCTGCAGCATTGCGCATGAAGCTCGTCTTTCGGCCCAAGCAGGGGTGCCAACTTGGAGATACCTCTTCAATTCCACCTCGTTCCCACCAACGCCGGGAGGTATCTTGTCTCGTCCGGTACACGGCTCAGAGATCAGCTTCGTCTTTGGCAACCTCTCACCGGCGCCGGCGACGCCTGGCCAAGCTCTTGCCTTGAGCAAGTTCATGCAGACAGCGTGGGCCAACTTTGCCAAGAACCCCGCCAATGGGCCTGGAGTGCCTGCCTGGACGCAATTTTCTGGCAAGCCTGGTGCGATGGACCTGGGGAACTTAGGTGGTATTGTCGGGGATGGAGTATCTATGACAGATTCAAATGTGATCGATAGTCGTTGTAATCTCTTTGATGCATCATACGCTAGGAAAGTGTAGGAGCAACATGGTGTAGCTGCAGGTTGCTTCGCCTCTAAGCCCAGATTCAATCATTATTCACCCCTGAACTTTCTGGTTGACCAAAGCAACGATGATGTGACTCGCCGTGCGAATACGTACGAAAAAAGATCAGCTTGTTTGCTGGGCTTCTTGATTCCTAGTTTAAGCTTTGAGTGAGTTCATCAAAGTGGTTTTGAAATCCTCCGGCTCTCTTCCCAAAAGCTCACTCAGCAACGGCGACGCAGCAGCCGCCTCACCCCTACGGAACGCCTCAAAGGCTGAAGCCCACGGCTTCGAGTAGTCAACTCCACGGTAAGTGAAGTTCAGAATCACCTGAGCCTGAGAGGCGAACTCATCATCCGAAACCTGCTTGATCTGGACCGGGACCTTTGCTACCTCGCTGAGAATGTCGACTGTCTCCGACAAGGTCAATGTCTTTGTTCCCGAGAAGAGAATCGTCTGTTGGCGGTAAGGGAAGCTATCAGGTTCTGTGACGTAGCGAGATATGAGCTCAGCTGTAGCCTCTCCCAGCTCTTCCCTCTTAACCCATGCAATACCGGGTCCAGCGCCGTCATGAGGAATCTTGATCTCGTTGACAGATCGAGCCGGGTCAAAGAACGAGGTGTAGAGCGGGTAGGACTCGGTGTAAAGTCCTTCGCGGACAATCGTGTAATCGAAACCAGGATGCTCTTTGCCGCATGCATGAAGGTATCTCTCAGTAAGGAGGTGTGCCTTCATGACGTGAGCCACTGACTCCTGGTTCTGTGCATTTCCAGCAAAGCCCAAGGACCCATAAAAGATGTGCTTCACACCACTTGCAATGGCAGTGTCGACGGCAAACTTATGTCGCTTTGCGTGGTCTTGTCAGCTCTCATACATGTTCATAGTCATTCAGATTGTGAAGCCTTGCCTCAAACCTGTGTTCGACCTCAACTGATGCATACGAAATCAAGAACAAAGTCTTGATTCCGCGGAAACTATTCCGAATTGATTCATCGTCGTCGTAATCAGCTTGGCGAACGTCTGCTCCCAGTTCTCGTGCATGCGAAAGGTTGTTGGGGTTCCTGGAGATGAGGATCAAGTTTGTTGGAGAGAGACGTTGTAATATGTGCTTTACAGTGCCCCCACCGATACCTCCAGAGGCGGGGAAAATGCCAACTTTGTGTTGCGTGGATGAATTCATTTTGTAACACGAATGATGGACGAGCGATTGATGATGTTATGATTATTTTACGAGACTTGAGACAGTCCGGGCGCTTCATCTCAAATCTTTAAATACTACTTCCAGTCTGCTGAGACGCAGAAACGTCAGTCATATTTGCCCCTTGTGATCCGTGGAACACTAGATGACGATGGAGTGGATATTTGCAATGGATAACTCTCAAGTGTTTTCCTTGTCGCTCAGCTTAGAGCTTAGAAATTGGCTCATCGCTGAATAATCACTTTGCAGACGAAATTTCTGAGGGAAAGTCCGTGGCGCACCTCAATTCTGAAGCCATGAGAATTGACGAATCATTAGCTGTAGCCTTTGCCTGCACAAGCCTTGTTTTCAATCTTCCAGTGGGGGTGAGATATCGCTCCTTGACGTTATCAGTTCAATTCGCGTACTAGTGACCGGTTGAGCAATTGCCGCCTCGGCACCTCACTCCGGGAAAAGCGGGTCTCTCGGCCGTCTACCTCCGGCCCCCTTGAACCGGCCTCGTGGAATGGAAGAAGGCAATATAGTGTGGAATGCAACTTCGGACGAGAACTGCATCATCTTCAACGGAGGACTTTCAAATGCGGCGGGTCATCTTGGTTTAGTTGCCTGGATCTGCTATATCCATTTTGGTTTGTGTCAGTTTCTGACACTCGTCCTTGGGATGGTGCTTGGTCCTTGGTCCTCTAAGCTTGAGCAGATACCCAGCATGTGAGCATTCTCTTTATAGACCTCTCTCTCAACAATCATCAAGATTCATGGCTGAATCTCTCTGGTACGCGGTTGCATTCTGCAACGTAAGACTGACCATGGTTGAGAACTTCGCCGACACGCAAAACTAACGGTCGGCTTCCCGACGCTTGTGTCGCCACCCATCAGCAGAGGAATGCAACAAAATGATTTCATTAGAGAACCCGCTTCCGATGCCGAAGCCTGTAGTCCAAGTAACTGCCGGACCGAAGAGGAACAAAACCATTTGTCGCCCCGGCCCGTAGAGCTCTCTCAGATCCGCAGACGTGACAGTTCCATTACTCAAGTTGATATCCACTATCTCATCTGGAAATTTCAAGGTGTCCTGGTCTTATCAAATGAGCTGTGCTTCATCAAAAGTTTGAGGCATTGTCACTCTACTTCTTCCTACTGATTTTGCAAGCGGCCTGTCGAAAGTGGCCATGCTTGTACCTCGACATACATTAAGCAACGGTTCTGTCTTGTTGTGTTCTACCGAGCATTCGGATCACATTTCAACTTCGTCTTCTTCTTCATCATCCTCAACCATGGGTATGGCTGTTGTTACCACTTCGACTTCCTCTTCCACCTCCTCCACATCTACCGACTCTTCTACTCCAACTGATTCTTCTACTACCTCGATCCTAACAACATCATCTTCCACCTCGTCTTCGTCTACCGACGCACCGACAACAGCAAGCTCTTCGTCCTCTAGCACCGACACAGCTTCATCTAGTACAGACAGTCTTATTTCCTCAAGCTCAAGCACTTCGAGCTCCAGCGGAAGCACCACCGTGACGCCCACCACATCCAGCTCCAGCTCGTCTACCAGCAGTCTAGACACCTCTTCAACTAGCTCTTTGGGAAGCTCCTTGACCAGCAGCTTGGCAACTTCATCTTCGAGTACCATATCTCTGAGTAGCCTGTCCACGAGCTTGCTCGGCATCAGCAGCACTCTGAACAGTACTTTAAGCAGCACTTTCGGCGGCATCAGCAGCAGCAGCACCTCCTTGCTCTCTCTGTCCTCGACTAGTGTGCCCACGATCTCGACTTCTATTCTGCCAAGCAGCTCCTCATCCACCCTAGTCTCAACTTCCAGCTCCTTGACCAGCCCTCTCATCACTCTCGCTCAGTCGTCGTCATCCTCTATCGTCGTTGTCTCGCCTACGTTGACTACGGATACAAGGGGAATCTATGATCCGTCCATCGGTCTAGCCTTCCCTGGTCCGTCCACCACTCCGTCTACCACTCCATCCACCACTCCGTCCCCTACTTCATCTGCCACCCCTTCGACATCGGCGAGTTCCACGGGGATTGCTTCCATACCTGTCGGAGTTCTCTTCAATTTGCAAGTTCTCGCAGCTGCCGTCCCAACCAACCCTGTCTAGACATGGGTTCAGGTCTTGCAGGCCCTAAATTGCACTCTGTCAGGCCTCTATCATCCCTCATTGCCCCTCCTGTTACGTTTATCGTATAGCCGGGTTTAATAGACGCTGCACATGTTTAATTCAAAGTAATTGAGAATTCTACACCATGATTCAAGGCTATCGGGGGTGTCTTGTTAGATTCCACATTCTGCCACCGTTTTTCCATCGAAAAGTAAAGAAAAAACAAGTGTTTCAGGGGCGCTATTTCCATGAACAATACCAAACGAAACTTTTCATGCGTTGATCAATTTACCCATCCATCTTATTTGTTTCTCACACTACTGTACTCCCCGAGCTGCGTGACACTCGACAGTCTCCCTCTAGATCAACGGCCGAGCTTCGTCCACAGCCATCGGCGGCAGCATACCAAGCTTGCCAAACTCGCGGTACGTCGCAAAGATGCCCTCCGCCGTGTCGACGAACCCGTTCCAACCCATCATGCGAGCCTTGTTCGGGCTAAGGCGGCCGTAGGCATCGGGCAGCACAGCGACGTCCGTGAACATGAACTGGCCCTCGGGGTCCTCGAAAGGATCATTCAGCAGGTTGTGCTTCTTCATAATCTCCTTCCAGGCCTCGTGGTTCTCGGGCTCCTTGGCCCACGCGACGAAGGACCAAGAGAACTTCAAGCTTGCACGGGGGCCGAAACTAGACACAGACAAAAGTCAGCCAAGGGCTTCATCCTCACAACAGTCGGAGAGACACGTACCCAATAGGCGGCTCGCCAGGCATGGAGATCTTCTGCATCTTTGACTCATCCAATTCAGGCCTCCCAACCTCTGAAATCCCAAACCACTTCGCAAGCTCAGGCCAGAACAACGCATAGCTGAACGATCCCTGGTCACTCGAGTTAAACGCCTCATTCCCGCAATGCTCATTCAAAACAGCCCACTCGGACAGGTACCCAGTAAGGTGCGCATGCGAGTGTGCGTGGTCCTTGAGCCAAGCGGCCATCGTGCCGGGGAACTCGAGCGGCCTGCCGAGGTGAGCCTGCACGGCGGCGTAGACGCCGAGCCCGTAAAACGCATTCATCTGCGCGTTCTCCACGGCGCCGATGATCCAGGAGGGGCGGAAGACGTTCCATTTTGCGCCCGTCCTGGCACAGTGGTCAAAGAGGGCGTCTTCCTGCGGGTAGTAGAAGTTTGGCTCGCTGGTGACGCGCTGCGCTGATTCTACAAAGGGCGAGATGGCCTGGCCGATGTGGCCGCCGTAGTTCTTGGCGCCGGTCTGCAGGACGATGCGTTTGGGGCGGATGGAGGACTTTTCGAGTCCGTCTAGGAAGTTTTGGAGCAAGGCGGCTGGCCAGGAGTGTTATAAAGCGCAGTCTTTCTCCTCGGCAGTGGAAAATGCGCTTGTGCGGACTTACAGTTGACTTTGACGAGAGCTTCGGCGTTGGACCAAGCCGCGGCTCCGGGCTCAGGTTTGGGCTGAAGGTAGGAATAGAAAAAGACATAGTCTGCCGTGACTTGACGCTCCTCGAGACCCTGCGCGATGACGTTCGCGTCCGCCAGAAAGTCGAGCGAGATGTGTTCGATGCGCTTCTGCTGCTCGGCAGAGAAGAAGCTCATCATCTTCTCCGAGAGGGGGCTTCTCGACACTATCCAGACCTTCTTCCATCGCTGCGGTGCGTCGAGGAGGACCCTGAGGGTATGGAATCCGCTGATGCCATTGGCGCCGGTGATGAGGGCTGTCAAGTCTGTGACATCCGATGGGAAAGTTGGCAGGTTGCGGAAGATGCCTTTGTTCTGAAGAGGGAGGGCCTGAGACATAGCGTTGTCTGTATGAGTGGTTTGCGTGAGTGAAGTTTTACAGAATGTTGATCTGACCTACCGAATACTGAAAATCCATTGCCGATTGGATACACTTAATCTTTACTTATACAAACATTGGACGGTACCCTACCGAGGCCCTGAGTTGGAGAAGGTCCCTCGCAACAGGCGATTGTTTGCCAATTGGTCATGTTCGTCTCACCATCCCACCGGCTGCAAGTGGGTGAAGACGTGCCGACGCATACCTACAGCAGCGTCTCTTGCCATTTTACAGGTCACGGCGGGATATATTTTCCGCAGCTTGAATAGCTTAGAAGACGTTCAACGTTATGAGAAGCAAGTGTTCACAGTCGCATCAAAGTCCGAGTTGAATGTATGTCAGCGATCCACATCTAGCAGTTCTCTGAATGTAAGTCATTACGTAGTGTTCGTCAAACGGTGTATTCACCAGACGCGGTTTGCCGTTCTAGACCTACAAACCGGCGGGGCCTTCGGTTCAACCATCCATCCGGGTGGCCCAGTCTGCGATGCGTAGCGAGAATGTGAGATCCCGTCCGGACGAATTCATCAAGCAACGTCCTCTTGTACGGCCGAGTCTCGTACCAAATTCCTTGCCGCGGTTCAGACCGAGGCAAGTGGGTACTCTGTCTACCGGCCACGGTCCACGGTCCACGACCATTGAAAGGCAATCCTTTGGCTAAAGGCGGTAAGACCTAAGGGATAGTGCGCCGGGGCTGCAGAACGACACCTCGCCGCCTGGGACCCCGCAGCCGGTACCGATAGACGGGTAGCGTCGAGGATCTGTTGGCCCAACGGGACTTACCCACCTCCGGCGGGATGAGGTTTGTTGTGGGGACTTAAAGCCGCCGTCTGTCCTGGAGAGAGCCCTTGATGAAGTTGTGATTCAACATCGTGTGTGTGTGTATCCTTTTCAGCATCTAATCCACAAAAGCTCCGCGATACCCGCGTTCGTCCGCCGACTCGCTTCGTAAAGATGAAGATTTACTTCCAGACGGTCGATGTCGTGCATTCAGAAGACTGGAGGTTGAACCCTTCACGACGCGGTACTCGCCGTCTACAAAGTGAAGCTCGTTCAAAGTCGAAATCAAACTGTGACGGTTCTTCACCAACGTCAGCAAATGTAATTTCTCCCCTGTAGGCCACATATGTTTAGTATTTAGATCCCCCTACTATTCCCCTGACGCCGAGTTGGAGTCTGTTTTGTGCTCAGGCTCTCATACCCCTTTCCCTCTCTATCATATCTACTCATCGTTGCATGATTTGACACCGCAAACTTCTTTCTAGGGCCGTGAAGTGACAGACAGTCAAGCATGGGACCGCGAGGTGCTCGTCCAGGTATCTTCATTACAACAGACAAACTTCCACGCGGTGAAGCTACTACCGCGGCACCGCGACCCAGCAGAGTGGCACATCTCTGTAAGATCCGGCGGCAAAGATGGTGAGGACGAGGAGACCATCATCGTGGACGACTCGATGCAGAACAAGTTCAACATCAGGTGCAATGCGCTGGTCTACGATCACGAGCACGAGGACTTGATCTCCATGTTGAACATGTCACCGACGACGGTCGCCTGTATGGTGAAAAGGGGGTGATGATAGACAGGGGAGGGGCGTTTTGCAATTACTACATATGGGCCAAGGTGGGAAGGAAAGTAACGAAACAAAGAGATACAACCTACAATTTTGATTATAGGACGGGAGTTAGACAGCTGATTAATCTACAACGAGAAATCGTTCGTTTTCCTCGTTCTACCTGTGGCACTCATTCATCCAACGGTCATCGGTGCCGGACTGCATCTTCGATCGGGTTCCTCGAGTCGAACTCGTGACTAGATATGGTACATGTCAGCACTTGGTGCCATTTATTGTTGGTTCGCCACTGCCATATCTACTCTTTCAGTTGGCAACCGTCATGGTGGTAGGACACATCCGTCACCCACACATCAAGATCGATCCATCGCGATCTGGGGACGAGCAAGTACCAGATACGGAACGGACGTGACGAAACACAGATTTCGGTCAAAGACAACGATCATGAAGTCAATGGAGTATAAGTAAACACCCTTCTGGCTGGATATTGTCACAATTTGATGTGGCCTCACATCACCGAGAACTCGCCATCACGCACTTCTTATCCCCCGAACATCAACAGCAAGCAATTATGATCTCCACGCCCTTCCACCACCTAATCATCCTCATAGCATCAGCCGGGCCAGTCCTCTCAACCCTCGTGCCCCCAGGTTCCCGACAAGGAACCTACATCGTAACCCTCACCCCACAAGGCAAAGAACTCCATACCAGAGTCTCCGACATTGACGTACCACCACAACACCTCCCCCGCCGCGACGCAACATTCTGGCCCTCCGACACCAAACCGCTCTGCTCCGACAGCCCCTGGATCACCACCGCCGACTTTTCCTCCCACCCCAACGGCGCCCGTAACGCCTTCGCCGCGCAATGCGCCGCCCTCAACGGCAAACGCCTCGGCTACCGCGAAAAAACCTACAGCCATTGGGGCGACGCGGTGGCGTACATGTGCTCGTACGCGGGCAGCGGGGACGTAGGCAACGGGAGGGACGGCGGGAACCCGTGTGTTGTGCAGGAGTGGGTTGATGCCGTCGAGTGGGCTGCCAAGGAGTGTGGGGGCAGGAACGGGAATGGTTTGATGGAGTGTGGTGAGTTGCCTCTTCTTTTCCTTCCCAAGCTTCGATATAGAAGTCGTGCGTTTGTTGTGTGGAGGCGCTGACTTTTGAAATGGTCCAGCCTATCTCTCGATTCCTGGATATGAAAGAGGTGAGATGAACCTCCAAAAGTTTGACGTTCGACGGGACGGCCAGCTGACTTGTACTACAGGCGTACGGATATACGCGCGCCAATACTTCCTTTTGTTGAGGGTCTCTTTGCGGGGGGTTGTGGTTTAGCATTTGCAAGCTTGAAAGATAGGAAAGTCGTGGGCCTCATGGCAGAAGTCGCATCGGAAGAGCACTCTTCTGCCGAGTACAGATTGTAATAAAGATGTAGTAAATCCAACAGAGAACCTTGTACGGGATTGGCGTGTGGATCAATCCTCGCAGATGATGCCGTGTAGACTGTAAATCAACCACTCACATGAGTTACCTACACTCACTGATGCCCTGACAATCTTGGCCAGCTCAGCAATGGTAGCATCGTCAGTCTCCTTGGTGCCAGAGTTACTGCCGAGGTCCAACAAGACCTTTCACTGAGAATTCTGAACATTGGAAGATCCACCTTCAACTCGCTTCCTTGGTTATTCTCTGCACAATTCCAGTCATCTCACGATAGCTTTAGTACTCTCTTTTCTAAGCATCCTCTCGTTTGTTATTCATCATTAAGCCGCAAGGTATGTACTCGGGAATTATATATACTCATCAAAATCCAAGATGATGTGATGACGGATCGCCCGTTTCTCTTTCTAAACCTTTTCTTTTCCTCGCGTGCCGTTATCGACTTTTCGGGGCCGGTCATTATCGCTGTGCTCCAAAATGCACTCACGTATTACCTGAATGATTTGCGGGCTAACGGGCTCGCCCCGGGCGGTCCCAGCGCGGGGCCATTGCCCCGGAGTCGACCGCCTCGCATGTTGGGTGTGTTTGAACAGAAGGCACAAATGTACACAGATGGAAGTGTCCGCTTGGATATGTTGATACACGATCCATGGAGCCACATTTCGCAGGACTCACTTGTGGAATGTTAGCATTGGTAAAGCATCATAGGTGCTAGCCGGCCATCTTCACGAGGCAGGCTGGGGACGGCATCATACCATTGGACCATGTACTCTCCCTGTCTATCCGTGCTGTTCCTGCAAACGCATCGAACGTTGTACGTCGCTTTCGTCGGCGAGGGTAGGCTGGCCTCCGTGAAACCCGTCGGTGACATCATACCCCCGAGGTGACCCTGAAAACTGCCCGACGCAAATCGCTGTGATCGTTGACTGCCAGGTGCCTGATGTCCACGCTTTTGGCGGCTTTCAACGAGCTTCCGCAGCTCGCTTGCTGCGTCACCCCCCTTTCCCTGTGCCTCGTTCATCACGGTCTCCGCCTCGCTCTCAGCCTCGTGCTGCGAAACAGACGCACCCAAGCTGCTCGAGCTGTGTTCGCTAACGCTCCTTCGAGACGAATGGAACATGGAGGCTGACGACGGTCGACGGGGATCTGGTAATGCAAACGAGGTATTTCGGCTGGGGATGATGATTGGTTCGTCGTCTGTCGAAGAGTCGTCGTCCTCGGATTCCCAGCTCTTCTCTCTACGCGGCATTTCCCGTGTCACCGGTAGTCTGCGTACCTCCTCAAGCCGAGGCTCATCCATCACCATGGTGGTCTCAGCCCGCGCCCTGCCTCTCGAATCGATCGTGAACTTCACAGCCGTGCGAGGTCTCGGAGGAGTCGACTCGGGTATCGACGTCAGGCTCGAAAGGCGAGAGTGCTGCTGTTTCAGGGGCGATAGTCTGCCAGACGGGCGGCTCGGTGGCCTACTTGGGCCGGCTACGGGACCATTGGCCACCTGAGGCCTCGGCTGTATGGCTGGAGCGAGCTTAGGCAATGACGGCTTTGAAAGTCCGCGTCTCCCACGATTCTCACTGGCACTTCGTTGCAGTCCGTTGAGCCGCCCATTCGCTTTGATCGGGGAATTGATAGAAGCATGGCCGGATGGCCTTCCATGACCCAGCTCCTTGGTACTGAGGGAGCGGCGAATATCGCCGTGCATAGGCGCTCTCGATTGAGATTCTGCAGCCGCTGCAAGGGCAAACTGTGCCGAGCCTTGTGTGACGGGAATGTTTGCACCCATGTTTGCAGATAGCGGTCGACCGAACAAGACACCAGGATCGACTCCGCCGGGACTCATGATACCGAAGGGGTCCTCCATTGAGGTTGAGAACGAGTTTGTGACCATGGAGATATCTGCCGAGCTGGACTGGACATTGTTCATGACAGGTTTAGGAGCCAGGGGCCGTGTCCGTTTGATGGGCTGGGCAGTCTCTTGGCTACCTGACGGCGGCAGGGCAGCAGGCTCTTGAAACATTTGCGAGGCGTCAAACGAAGGCATATGGCGATGTCCCGAAGTTTGAAAGACATTGGGACCAAAGGAGAAGTCGATTTCCATGCCCGACATGTCGGCACTCGGATCCCAGAAGCTTGCGGAAGCAGTTGCCGGAGCCGACATGGGATATCCGAACATGTCGGTAGCAGTCACGAAGGCCGCCATGTTGGGATGTTGTGGGTTTCCAGAAAAGTCAGGCTGGCCGTAGCCATGGTCATTCTGCATGTTGTCGTCCTGTAGCTTAGGAGCAAGCTTCCGGCCACCCTTGTGGGAAGATGGGGGAGGAGTTGCTGTCTGCCCGTTCAAATCCGCCACACTCTCCCTGCCTTGTGAACTTTTTGCGGTGCTGTCTTGTGACGCCTGCTCTGGACTGGCCGAACCGCCTTCCTGACTGGAAAAGTCTGCTTGCTCGATCGGGGGCCTAGGAGAAGAGGGCAGTCGTCGAGCTGCGGTGACCGGGGGTAGAGGTAGGTTCGTGTTGGGGGAGAAGTGGTTGGCATGTGTTGCTATCTGGGCGGCGAGGCTCTCGGCGGACAGAGGCCTCTTGAGGCTTGCCGAAGCAGGAAAGGTAGTAGCACCTGTGGCAAAGTCGGGAAAGGAACCCGGAGAGCCTCGAAGGTTGCCTGGGGTTGTGTTGAAGACGGAGTATTCCTCTGCAAAGCGAGGCGTCCAACCACCAGCGTCGTCAAAGTGACCCTGGGACTGCTTAGGAGTTTCGAAAACGGGGCTCGGGAAAACGGCGGAAGTGGGAGTCTGTTTGGGGGTGGGCGGCTGAGCGTTTGGGTTTCCAAAGCTGTAGTCAGAGTTTCTGGTTAGCAAAATGGCGTTTTGATAGATTGTCCGGCCTGCCAATCTTTGCGACCTGGTCGAGAGGCAGAAACAGAAAGACGAACGTGAACGGGGCGGGTTTGGTAGAATTCTTGCCTGGACGCCAGCTGATCCCCACTCATAGCAATTCTACTGTAGTTCACACAACCCTAACTTGAACATGACATGAACCACCCTAACAAACGGAATTGTGCAAGCTTGAGGATATCGAGGAGTTCAGAGGACAGCCAAAGGAAGACCAGGGGTGCAATCGGCGGCCTGGGGGTCGGGGGAAGCGAAGAGCGAGTGCTGTCGATTGGTCGGTTCGTGAATGTTGGGTAGGTAGGTAGGTAGGTAGATATCAGGCGGGGGCGACGTCAGATGCGCATATCATTGATCATTACAGAAGGTCCAGACCGGCAATTTCATGTGAAGAAAAAAGATTACACCGAACGACGAAGAGCTGGCGTGAGCAAGACGATTGTATGCGTAAGGTGTCGGAGGAACTCGAGCCTGGGGGAGGTTGGGAGTCGAGGGGAAGTTTGTGAAAAGGGAGGTCCGTGAGGTGCGGCGCAGAAAGCGTATCGGGACTCTCTGTACAGCGGTGGGAGCGTGATTACAGAAGCAGATGTAGTATCTAGTCGTCAGAGTCGTAACACGGCAGATGCAAAGACTGGTCTGCAGCGAAGGGCGCTTCCAAGTTCCATGCAGAAGGCAGGATCGAGAAGAGGCAGCACAAGAAGGGGGAGAAGATAGATGGTGAAGAAGTGCTAAGGAACGTCCAGGAACCAATAGATCACTTTGTAGGAGGGAGAGGATAGAGTGTGAAGAAGACCTACGCCCAGGAAACGAAATGGACAGGTACCTAGCAGCAGCCGCAGCCGATGCAGTAATCAATGGTTAGTTACTGCATAAGCAGGTGAGAGAAGGTAACCTGAGGACGGCGCACAATTGTGCCTCAATGCTAGGTACTCGGTACGTAGATATTGGCAGTTGGCAGATGGCAGATGGCAAGCCGCGAGCTAAGGTACCTTGAGGCAGGCAGAGATGGCCTGTTCTCTTTCTCTCATTGGAGTTGGCTAATTTTTTTATTTCTTAAAATCATGTCCGTAGGGATGCAGAAACATAGAGAGAGGAACAACCTGGGTCGGGCATAGAAGTACCTCGAGTTAAGGTCGTGGATGGTACGTATCCCTAGCAAGTCAGCATTTCTCATTAGGCAAGGCCTGACAGGATAGCGGGATGGGAGCACTGTCCAGCAGTGCACAGCGCACTTGGTGAGACTGCGCTGCTCGCCTACAATTTACCATTAAAACTCAGATGCGAAAGTCACAGGCGCCTCGTCCGACTGACTGCCTCTGTTGCTGGGAGCTTCCCGGTGGATAGACTGCTGTGTCGTAATTGGGTTATAGGGCCAGTCAGCTAAACGAAACAATCTCTGACTACACGTGCCTTACCCTAGATATCCTGTTTCTTCCTTTCTCGTTTCTCTTCCACAAAGGACAAAGACGAAAGGAAAAGCCACATGTGTCGAGTCCAGTCTGACCAGATCGCCATGACGCCCCCTAACGGCGTTGGCTTCCAGGCTAGAAGCTGGCCGATGAGGGGGAAACTCGGCCAACGCCACGGAAGATGGATAGGCCAGCGTGGCTCAACAGGGAGGTCGTCAGGTGACGGGCAAGTACAGATAGCAGAGGTCGTGACTAAGATAGTCTCTAGGCTCTGATCGCCGAGCCAGAGCGCAACTTGTGCCAACTGAAACAACCCACGATACCAACTGCAAAAGGGGTTGTTTGCCCTACCTACGGTCTCTATCTTCCTTGGTGGCCAGATGTATCGTTGTCGAGATACTCTTTTCCTTGGACAGCCGCCAGCGCCTATCTAGGGTTTCAACGTGGGCAAACACGGGATGATGGTGGCATACAAGCTTCAACCGGCGTCGTCGTCCTGGGAAGCCAAGCCAGAGAATACGGCGAGCCAACGACCTTCGAGGCCCCGTCTAAAGGGAATGGCGCAATCAGATGGCATGAACGGGCTTGACAGGCACGGGCACAGTGGTGGGTGGTGTGGTGGTCTGCTCAGGTTCATGCTTGATCTGGGCGGCGGCTAACAGAGCTAATGTACTACTGTTAGTGGCCATCATCAACTGCTATGTTGCTTCGGCGATGGGAGAGCAGCTCGTGTATGGTGCACCTGCTGGTGCACTTCGCCGACGAGATATGCGATGAACCCCCCTCCAGGTCCTCTGTATGAGTAGGGAGGCTGAAGAAAGGGCCGGTTCAAGGATGTTCCTGCTCGACATGGGCATGTCTCGGTGATGGGGAGGAGGGAAATGGGAGCAAAGGCATGCAAATCAGCACCCGTCTAACCACATGGGAATTGCCCTGGCCTGATCTTGGTCTGACTTGCCCCTCGATCTGAGTCCTGTAAGCTGTCCTCCCCTGGTCTTTCCCGTCTCTGACTCAACTCGGTCTCCGAACCTCGATACAACATTCCTCTTCAGAGCGCTGAAAGTCACCATGTACGTCTCAGCTATCTGTATCCGTCAGGATAACTTATTAAAGTTGCTCCCGCATTCTTGCTGCTCTGTTCCAAGAGTTGCTGATGACAGTTGCTGATACGGTTGCCGAGACAAGTTGGCCGGTTGCTGGTTGCAACGGGGCTCGGCTGTCCAGCGAAGCGAAATGTAGAATGCGATGCGAGGAAGGATCGTCTGCAGAGAGCCCATGCAAGGTACTTAACCAAAGGCAGCCATATCCTTCGCGACTACACCGTGAGGCAGGGGTTACACGGCAAGGCACAAATCTTGGCCAGCCAGCGAGGGAAGGGGGAGAGAAGGGACTCTCCACAGTCTCCAGGACCGTCCTCTCCGTTCGCTCCTTTGGACAGGGAAGCAGGCACAGCTCGAAGAGCGCCTTGCCGATCCGGGCTGTAGTCTCGCTGTAGTCTTACTGCAGGTGCATGGCGGCCAACCCATGGGCTCTGGGCGGGCAGGTGATGGTAGGGTGAGCGACATCTGTCAAAAAACGAGCCAACAAGTCTGCAAACTGCAGTAGAGACCGATATGACAGCTGCCAAATACCATTCAATAATGCCCATCCACACAAAAGCGAGTCTGAACCTTGTTGCTCGATGCAGTCATGACGAAATAATTTCGAATGCAGAAAAGTCTCTGCAGCCCTGTGAGCAAGACAATTCCCCCCTCCTTCTCTCTCTCTCTCTCTTTCTCTCTCTCTCTCTCTCACCGAGCCAATCTTTCTTACAGTGCAATGCACATCACGTCAGTCTACCACCAACCCATTCCCACAGATACCTCACGCCCACGAGATGACCTAGCAACCAGCACTCGTTGAAGCCTCGGAAGTGGCATTTGGCAGGCCATCAGAGACTCCTGGGGCCCCGGCATGTAAGCGGCAAAACTGGTGAGTCAACGCGGCGCTGCGCTACCGAAAACTAGTCCTCGTCTATCCTCCTCCAAGCTTGCTTCGGCCACCAGACTACAGGATGCCATCTGTGCGCTGAACGAGAAAAAGGCGCTTCTCTGGGACTCGGTCACGTTGCCGTATGTATCACCACTATCCGCCCACCGTCTCACCTACAAAACTTTGGTGAACCATGGACCGTCACGATGATGATGCCCATACTAATCCGCAACCTGCGCCGTTCCCTCCGCGCTCCGGTTAGAACCCCACTGTTTCGGGGCCGGACCTCAGCTCGCTTCAGTTGCGCCTCGCCAGGGGTGGGGGAGGGAGGATTTTGGTTCTCTTTGCACGATTGAAAACTCGCTGGGCAAACCTCAAATCTTTCTCATCTTTTGAACTCGGCAGATCGATCGGTTGGAGAGACAACGCGAGCAAAACCAGACAACTTCCCGTCCGATGTTCGATGGAGCGATTGTGCTTCGGACCTACGAGCCTCTTTCAGATGTTCCCGCTCCCGCTTCCCCCCCGTCCGTCATCCAGAGTTTCAGACGGTTTGGAACTTGCAAGATGTAGTGAGCATCTGCCGAACGGACCCGGGCCAAGAGGACGGACGGGGTGAGACACTTTGTTTTCCGTGGCTCAATCATCAGCATCCAGTAATGGTGTCGTCTCCATCTCAACCCACGAACTATTTGTTCGTTAGCCGAACTCTCTTACCTTTGGTTCTTTTCTATGATGGGTTGATCGCTCTTCTGCCAACTCAGTAGTTGACACAAATACAACCGCCGCCGTTGTGGAACATGTCTGTGTTGCTGGGCGGCTGCATCTTAGCCCCTTTGGAATCTCCTATAGGGATTGCAATCCGCAACAAACATCACACACCCGACGCTTGGAGTCGGTAACTTGTCCACTCTGTTTCGGTCTCCCTCTCCTAGATGCCAACTTCCAGACACGCAGCCCGGCGGTCCATATTCAGTTGACCAAGCAATGTGTCAACGTGTTTGAGAAAACACAACGTAAAATTAGTACGAGGACGCTTGCTTCACACTTCGTAACGGCTGCGGCTGCTGAGAACTGCAGCGTCTCAACGTTGCTGTTGCCAAGACCACGTTGAGGAAACCCGCTACATGTTTCTTGCCCAGTTTCACCTCGGTCGGCAAATCATTCTACGCAAGCGCGCAGCCTCACCTCGTACCTTCTCCCCCAAGAAGCTCGTCGATAGAGGGGTAGACGCAGGCGCAGGTAAGGCCTGGCGATGGCCCGGTGCGGCAAAATGAGGCTATCCGCAACTGGATTGCGACTTCGCAAACAAAGATCGCCTCGCCTGGCCCAGGCCAACGCCGGTTTCTGTACAAGCGGCGAGAGCTGGCAAACGTTGACAACGTATTGTGCTTCCTCTTCTTCAAACATTGCAGAATCGTTCTTGTCTCTGGGCACCCAAGGCCGTCACGAGGATGAAGATGCCTCTCGTCTTGAACAGAGGGGCGAACCTCCAAGCGGCATTACCGTGGTCTCCCTTCTCACTGCGCTAGCAATGGGCAACGAACCTCGTCAATCTTTCATTGATGCGAAGCTCGAATGCGACCGAAGTTGTCAGTCAATGTTTGGTTGAGCGAAAGCTTTGCCTCGGCTGCTGCTTGGGTTTCTGACCAGCTGTTGCGTTTTCTGGACCTTCCGCGAAAGTCAGAACAGCTGCCATCTGCATCTTGAAATACCTACAAGTTCGTCTCCTGGGCTCGGCGTTGCACAGCGTCCTCTTGATCAGACTTGACACTATGCCGCGGTGAATAGGTTCGGTCTGATGACCGTGGCTGACTTGGTCAAGCCAGGAATTTAAATCACAAGTAGACCTTTTCATCGGATCGCGGTGGAATCATGTCTGACCAGAGGGGTCTGCAAATCAACATGAGCGCGAGGAACGCCGCGATAATATCGATGAGGCCTACATTAGGTTGTCAGCGGTTATTCATCTTCTTTGAACGTGAGGAGTCTTGCGCAAATGACGACTCCTGCACTCAGTGCGTGGTCGATCTCTTGACCCCTATAGTCAATCATCAGTTTTGGACACTTAGAATGACCGATTGCTTTAAGATCATGATTGTATGTTCGAGTACTCTGTTATCGTAGAAACCCACAATGGGAATTTCCAAAGGAAGTCAGGGACTGGACTACCATTCAAGCGAACAGTATAGTGCCCACGCAGCACTATATGACAATAAGTCATGTTCGCGGTACGGGATTCCATCGACAACGAATCGACGGAAAATAACCCAGAAAATAAACAGCAACGCAAGAAAAGCGCGGCATCTTCTCAGCAAAGTTCACATAGCCTTCTTAGCGATGACTCAACTCGCAAATCAAGGTTCTATCAGAGTTCAGGGGAGGACCAATTTAGACTGTGACATGAGGAAATACTCGCAAGCAAACGATTGGATGAGATGACTTCCTGGCAGCAATTGTGACTGTGTCTTCCTGGATGCTACGGAGATAGAAGTGGCTGGGGACTGAGTTGGCTGAGATCAGGGTGGTCGTACTGACGGTACGATTGGTTTGTTGTCTATGTAAGCTGCAAGGGGTTTTAAGTGCTTGCAGTTAAACGTAATTGGTTGGGTTTGGCTGCCTTCGAGCCAACGCTGAACATCTGGGTTCCCCCCCCCCCCCTCCCTTTCTATTAGTTGTAGAGTCCATCATCAGCTCCGAGGTAGATCCCCCCCTGCTTGGATCCTCAGCCATCGTGCGATGCGAGAGTTGTAGCGTCGCTAAAGACTTCGCAAGCTGGCAGGTAGCTGGGGAAGCCTTGATGGGTCTACCCAGGAACCAGGGAAGGGAAGGCTAGAAGAGCAGAAAGCACGACATCGACGTCAGGGACCGAATTGCCTCGTGAATCGTCAACGGTTCCAGTATGTGGTTTATCCTCCCTGTTTTTCCCTTCCTCCCGGCAACATCCCACCATTTCTTTCACTCCCCTCCCGCGGCCGACCTGCGCCCTAGAAAGAGAATCCGGATACGACCTCGGACTACGGCAGATGCATGCCTACCTTTCACGGTGGAGTGGACATCAGGTCTCCCGGGACTTTACCACAAACTTGGAACCTCGTCCGGCCGACGGCGACCAACGGTTGAACCTACGGATACAACTCTCTCCACTTCTTCCTCAACAACCCCCCCCCCTCCCCAGTTCTTTGCGTCACCTTTCCCCCCTTCTGCAGCTTTTGCCGTGTGTCCCATATGGGAATATGGATACTCTCGTAGGGCAAGAAAAGAATAAGCACGATCGCCCGCCAATCATCGACCCCGGCCAGGCCCGGGAAAATAGATGAGGAAAAGCCTGTGCGCAGCGCGCGCTGCCCCTCCCAGGCTCCTCTCCCTGGTAAGAAGACACAGGCCACAAGGAGATATATATAATGGCGGGGTCTCCCGGTCGAGATGCATGAATTCCGGGAGATTACGCACATACGCATGCAGCCCTCTCAGGAACACTTCTTTGCGTTCTCTGGTTCCTATTCCTCCTTTTTTTCGGGAGGGGCTCCAGTGAGGGGGTTCTTGGCCCTTTTTTTTTTTTTTTTTTTTTTTCCGCTCCTTTTCTCATCGCGCTCGTTACGAACCAACAGGATTCCTTGGTTGATCTTCTGCCCTTTGCCTAAATGGATCTTCTTCCGGGATGTAGAGACTCTTTCTCTGGGATACTCCGCCGAACCGAAACAACCGTAAGTGGCTCCATAGAACGAGAGAAACCCGAAGACCATGTCAGGAACCCGGGGAGGGGACTAGCCATAGAAGAAAAGAAGGAAGTTCTTGCTAGAGACTGGGTTTCCTGGAAGATCCCTGAGAATACGGACTGTCAAACCCGGGCTCTCTCCGGGCGACAGAGGAGGAGGAGGAGGAGGAGGAGGAGGAGGAGAAGAATGAGGAAGAGCAGGAAAAAGCATAGCTGGAGCGGCCGTTCTCCGACATCCGAAGACCAAAGACCAAAGACCAAAGACCAATGGCCCCCGGTTGTCCGTCAAATCGGCCAGCCATGATTCACGGCGCCGATCCATTCAACAACTGTCGAGTCGTGTGTCTATCGCATCGCTGCGCGGGTTTTCCGTCCCAACTATGCGAGGTTTTGTCACAGTAGCCGCCGTCACCCCAAGTGTGGTGCCAGAGCGTTTGTGCAAGTGTCGAAACGTGGTTTCTGTTTCCCTTCCAGCACTGTAAACGGCAGAACAAAACATATCTCTCCAACCCAGCCTTAACAAACCCTTACCATAAGATCCAAAAATCTATAGGCTGCTCGCTCTGCCGGTATTCCCCGCCGCCAGCTGAACCGCCTTCCAAAGTCCCAAGCCCATAGCAAAAAGGAAGGTCCAAAAGCATCCACCCGTAGTCATACTTCATGCCATCTGTCCCCCATCCCCGGCGGACAGGTAATCGAAGCGAAGAAGCCCCACCCCCCGGCTTCCTCCTCCGGGGCGAAGAGCATCATCCACATCCACCTCCACCGGACACGCCGGGTTTCCGTTTTGGAGGCTCCCCTTGTTGTTCAGCTTTGCGCCTAGCACCACATCGTGATATAGCCTGGTTCCGGTTCCTGGTCTGATCTTCTTCCTAACCCCTGCCCCCAACCCGGAAACCCCTGGCATCTTTCATCCACTGTAGCGTGGTCCCTCGACGATGACAAGCACTTGCCGTATCTGTCCGTGTAAGTGCATGGGCGAGGATGTATGTGTGTGGTATCCGTAGCCTACACATACCCGCTCTCTTCGCCCGCGTACCCAAACTCCCATGCAATACCACCACCACCCCCCGGCAAACCCACGCCCATCGAGGCTCCTTCTCGTCGTCCTTTTTCCAAGCCTCCGAAGGCTGTGACTCGTCCCTCCAGAATCCAGACAGTGAAGCAGGAAGGGGACCAAGTAGTGCAGGACCCAGCAAAGGGCCAAGAAAACGTCGTGGTCCTACGGAATACAACCCATCGTCCGTCTCTCTCCCACCACCCCCGTCCCCATCGGCAGTTGACCGTGTTCCTGGACCAGGCACGGGAGGAGAAGACGCACGCAGGGTACGGGATATGTAGGTACGGGAAGCGTGCGCAGTATGTACAGATATCCACACGGAAGCACACATCCTCGGACCTCACAAAACGCGGTACCAACTGCCCTCCCCTGGCCGCTGCCACTTCCCACTCCAACGCTGCAGCGCATTCACCCGTCCTTGGCTCTGGCCCAAGCCCATCCTCTACTAAGTGCCAACCGTTCGGCTATGTGTGATTAAACGACCTGCCCCTCTAAGGACCCCACCGATCTTCAACCCATCGGCATCGGGGGTCGGGGGTCGGGGGGTCCCTCACGACTGACACCACCCCTGCCTTGTCCCCGGATCCCGCGCAGCGTCAAAGTCGAGTCACCTCCCGCCGGCGGCCTGGCCTAATCCTCCTCCTCCTCCTCCTGGCCCTCCTTTCCCACGTCTCCTGCTCTTCATCCTTCCCTCTTTGGGCAATGCCACGTCCTCAAGTCCCCCTCCATCCCAGCTCGACAAGTCTACACTACACTACGCATGCCCAAGAAAACCCCCTGAACCCATCCCGCGCGCCGTTTTCCCCTCCCCTGGCTGACTCCCATGTCCCCTATTTCGTCTTGCATGTGTTTCTGCGGCACATCTTTCTCATTCTTCCCACGAGCCCCATCCACCATCGCGATTCTAACGGTCGAGGACATGGATTTGGGTAGTGGTTGGTGCTAGCGATCGTTGAGTTCTTGACTAAGAGGGGCCCAAGGGGGAAGCGGGGGTAGAGGAGTCATGGCATAGCAGTCTGACACGAGAGAGAGATGTTCGGGTCCTACGTGACTTTCGAGTTTTTTGACGGAACAGATCAGGAACCCTCCTATTCCTCTCAAATTGCCGGCGGAAAGGCCTTGTAAGACCATCCGTCCGTCTCGTCTGTAATTTTCTCCGTGCCTCTCGGAAAGTGTAGTAGTGCCCGGGACTCGCAAAACCATGTCCCTTTCTCCAAGATACGTGATGAGCAATTTGTCCATGTCTGTGAATGCCGTCTCACCAAGTTCAATAATCAAAAACCTCATTCTGAAATGACCGTGTATTCCTCATTCTGCGCAGGTTAAACAAAAAATCTAACTAGTACTGGCTTTGCCCCCCGAGGTTTTGTTTCCCAACGATAACAACGAATTTTGTCCCATGTTTTGGCACCCGTCCCCCTTCCTCCGGGACAGTACTTTCAAGACCGTTGCCACAAAGCTGTCCTCCTCCTACTTCCTGTCCTGGCCTATGTCCGCCCTGATCCAAGTCATTGGTTTTCCCTATTCCACCTTTTCCTCCCCTTGATATCATTGGTATGTCCTCCTCAAAAAATCAAAACTACGACTGCAGATCCAGTCGTTGGGGGTCTCACTATTTAGCTATCTACGATTAAGTTGTGGGGAAGAGCAGGTTAAAAAAAAAAAAGGGAAAAGGAATGGTGGGGCGCTTCAGAAAAACTATAGAGATAAAGAAGATAAAAAAAAACAGAAAGGACTGAACAAGAATCAGAAGAAAACGAAAAGAAGAAGGAGAAGCGAACAAACAGAACGGAACAAAACTTGCCCCCCCCCCCCCATGTTTTCCCCTAATGTC